CGTGTTGTCCTTGCCACTGGAGCACAGGGTGCCTGGGGAGTAGAGAGCAGCTACTGAGCAGGGGGTGGCTGGTCCCAGGTTTTCTCTGAGAGGTGAAAAGAGAGGAGTCAGACTAATTGACTGCAACTGAGGCAACAAACTCTTATCCTCTTTTTCAAAATATATACTTACTGTGCAAATTCGTGATGTCCCTGACATTCAATAATAAGGATGATTAATTAGAAAAGCAGATGGAATTGATTTTCTTGTTTTGCTGGAGTCACTATAGCCTACCTATTAACTGCTTCTTACTGGGGACTCCAACCCAGTCCACTGAAAGCTACAAGCTTTCCCAAAGGGAATTCTAATTTTTAGCACTCAGGAGTTTAAATAGTTCTGAAAGTCAACAACAAAAGTGTGCTTAACATCCCTGGTCAGTAAAAGTTTGTTGATTTAGCTATTTATAATCATAAAAATACATGATTTGACAAACTGTAAGAGGAGAAGGAAAACATTTCCCTGTTTTATTTTCACTCATTTTGCAAGCTCTGAGATTCTGGGTTTTCTGTGCAACCAAAGTCATCAAGTGCAAAAATGTAAATTCAGGTATGTGAGTGAAAGTCTGATTTTATTTTTAATATTTTACATGAAAATTTTTTATATCTTTCCTGTTCCCCCCCCGCCCCCCGCCTTGAGATCTTAATTTAGTTTGCATTTATTTTTAAATCTTTTGCAGCAGTTGCTGAATTTACATCACTCTGATGAGCTCTAACGTGACAGGGTCAGAGAAAGCAGAGCTATTTCCCATTGCAGAAATGAGCTTGGGAAGCAGCTATCAGTGGACAGGGCCAGAACACCACAGGAGCAGCCTCAGGCCTATTCCTCCCAGTCCACCACTTGGCCCACCATGGCCTCCAGCCAAGACTGGAAGAGCCAGTATGCCTCCAGGGAAGACTGGAAGAGCCAGTATTGGTAGACAAGACTGCTGTTGAACACTTTATCTTGATCCAAGTGCACCTTGTCATTTAACCCACACCCTCCCAGTGCTGCACCTGCACAAGAAAAGCATGGTTGCCCCCTCATGATTGTGAGTTTGGTCTACCAAATTCATCCCCAAACTGACAGAGAGTCTACAGCACTATCTGAGAAGGATCCAACTTGCACCGAGGTGATGCAGCTTTGAGCATAGTAGTTATTAGCTGTAGGACTGCAGGGAAGAAGCAATAGAGTTTGGTAAAACCTTTCTCTTGGAAGCCAGAGGAGAATGCGGTGGTGCTACCATCTCTGTTTCTTGGGGAAGCTATTGGGCATAGGAGAAGAAAGCAATAAATCCAAATCCTTTAGAGTGCAGTTACAATCCACATACCAAAAAGGACTCTCTTTTTTTGACCCCATGGTGGTTGGCTACCATCACACCCTACTTCAGGAGGGAATGTATCAGCCAAGAGGAATGCAGATGAAAGGTGAATCAACTGGAGATCATTAGGAGATGATGAAGCAACAGCAGGAAGAAAATGTGGAAGGTGAAGGAAACAAAGATGAGGAGGAAATGTTCTCTGATAATCTCCTCTTTTCCACTTCCTTTCTTACACTTTGCTGTTTTCCATATCTCTGGTAGTTAGAGATTAGGGGGGGAAATACCAGTCTGTGGTAACACTAGTATAATCCCATGGATGACCTACAAATGTTACTGAAGGAGCATTTTCCCTAGACACATTTGGATTTCTTATATAAGAAATTATGGACACAACAAGTGCAGCTGAAAGAGAGTTGCAGATGGTAGCGGTTTTCCCAATTAGAAAATGAAAAATAAATCTTTGTTATCCTTTTAAGCTTTTATTTGAACTCGTCAAAATGAGAAATCCAATTTTCAGTCATAAGTCAAGCAATGCTATATAAATTGCTTTTAAATAAGCAGTAGGTTTGGGCCATTATCTAAAGATCACTTAAATTAATATCTTTCCATTGATTTCAATGAGCTTCATTTCATGCTGTATAGCAAGCAGAGAAAACACCTGGGCAGCCTCAGTAACATTCCTCCATCTTAATTTCATTCAATAATTCATGCAAATTCCATGCTTCTCTTTTAAACTATCTAAACTGAACCCCAATCAAGGATCAAACACTGAAGTAATTTTATGAACATCACACTTAAATTGTCATATAACTTCAAGGAATCATTTTTAGCAGGATCGGAACCTGGAATACAGCACACAGTATGTAAAAAAGATCTTAAATCTGCCATATTATTTTTTTTTTTTGGCATTTATTTGGGTAATCCTATAACAAGCACAGAGAAGCTCTCACTTCTTTCAGCACTTCAGTTATCTTCAGATACGTAAGATTTCAAATATTACATGTGCTAGTGGGAAGTGTCCTAAAAGAAAAAAATCTCTGCTACAACATCTTAATCTCACCTGCCCTGCACATATGATTGTCTGTATTTTATAGCTCATGCATGTAGAACACTATTTAATTGTAATGACATAATCAGTCATTACACTGGATTTCATATAATAACCCTGGTAAAATACTGAGAAACTACACGTGTGGTATACTTGATCCTCATTTTCCCTTCCCGTTAAAAAGAAAATAGTCCTGAAAGTAAGAACCTGTTCAAATATCAGTACAGCATAGTTTGTTCCCATTATTTATATTCCAAAGAAAAGAAGAAAACAGGACCAAATCTAATGAAAACTACAGGAAGAGTTTAGAGAGACAAAAGATAATAATGCAAATTAGAACTGGATTAGGGCCCTTAGTAAACCTATCTACTCATGCCAAAAGAGGTGATTTAATATTCTGTGGTTAAGATTATGGTTTTGTGTCTTATCCAAAAGAATATCAACAATAGCACATTGTACTCCTACCACCATGCTGGGGATGTTACAGCCTCTGATGTGATTCAGCACTTGAAAGGACAAACATAGCTAAACGTTTGGATTTTCCTGAGCTGTCATCCATTGCAGGTCAGCAGGAGATACAACATCACAGCCAAGATAACAAGATACCTTCTGTCTTTTGAACATGTTTCCTGTTGATATCATTCTGTACTGTCACATTTGCTGTCTTGTCCTCTTTTTCGTTCACATATGTCACAATGTCACACATTCCGTCTCTAATTCAGTCTTCAGGGTACTGCACCGAGGAAACACCAGGACAGGGACTTCTCTGTGACTGCAGAGCGTCTGAGATCAGGGTACACGCCCTAATCCTCACTGGAGCATCAGTGTCACAAAACCAGATCAAAGCTTGGTGCAGCCATTTAATCACCAGTCATTGCTGCTTACCCTTTTTAAGCACAGGCAATAGGGCTAGTATTTGAATTTTCTGAGTAATGTCAGCATCTTAGCAGTTGCATTTTTGCCTTTCAAGTAGGATCTCTTTGTGTAGAAGCATGTCAAATCAGGCTCCTAAGGCTGCCCCTCCAGCCTGGCTTCACCCTCATCCTCAGAAAAAAGCAATCAGGAACCATCAGAGGGAAGTCTGAAGGTTACTTTAAGGTGGTTCCTTTCTACTGAACATGTGATACAGGACGCGAAGAACCACCAGCATATGAAAATGATGACACTCTACACAAATAAAGGCCATACTTTCATGCATTGCTTGTTGTCATGGAATACGCTGTCCATGGTGTTATCTCCACTGCCAGGTAATGTCAGAAAACTGTGATTTTGGATCACTGTGACACTATGTAACTCATGTATTCCTAAGGTGAAACATAAAAGCACCCTAAATTTAAATATGGAAATATGCTAAAACAAAAGCGACAAAGCCTTCAAACAATATTCTCAAGAATAGGAGATGAAACGCCTACATTTTTAATAAATGTGCTTTCTGATCACCCACTTACAAAACATGTTTCCTAAATTCCCCCACTTCAAGAAGTGTGAAAATATCAACAAGACAGAAACACAAAAAATGAAAACATAGTAAGTGAGTCCCACTTGGATGAATTTAAGTATTTTGCTTTACCAATTTAAAGAAACTAGGTTAAAAAAAATCCTAACCAAAATGGAATTTCTAAACAAGTGGTTTTGGAGTAGGAAAATGGCATTGTTTCAAAACATAGCATTTCAGCAATTTCACAACTTTTCATTTGCTTGTACCAAGCTTTTCATAAGTTTTCATTATTTTACAAGTTGATCTGAAAGAAAATTATTTCTTTGAAAAAATTCCAACCATTTTTCCTAGAAATATTTTTCAAACCTCTAATGCAGTAACTATTCATTAATTTTCAAGGCTTTGTTTTGACAAAACATATTTATTCAGCACACCGAAGAACATTTACCCAAGTACGCTTGTGAGCAGAAGCAATACTGAATGGTAAGAAATAGAAATGCAATATATAGATGTCTTCCACCCTCCTTCTCTCACAACAACTGTAGAAAGACATTTGAACATATGTACTGGGTTTGCTGAGATTAAGTCCATTTTCTTCAGAGTAGTTAGTATGGGTCTATGGCTTGGATTTGTGATGGAAACAGTGCTGACACCACAGGGATGTTCTAGTTACTGCTGAGCAGGGCTTGCACAGTGTCAAGGCCTTTTCTGCTTCTCACTGAGCCCCACCAGTGAGGAGGCTGGGGATGCACAAGGAGTTGGGATGGGACACAGCTGGAACAGCTGACCCCAACTGACTCAAGGGATATTCCAGATCATATGGCATCATGCTAAGAAGGAGAAAGAGGGGAAAAAATTCAGAATGATGGCATTTATCTTCCCAAGACACCATCATCCATGACGCAGAGCCTGAATTTCGTGGGGATGGCTGAATACCTGACTGCCCATGGGAAGCAGTGAATGAATTCCTTGTTTTGCTTTGCTTGAGTGTGCAGCTTTTGCTTTATCTGTTAAAATGCTTTTATCTCAAACAATGAGTTTTCTCACTTTTACTCTTCTGATTCTCTCCCTCATCCTACTGTGGAAGGATTGATCAAATTTAGAAAGAAAACAAAAAAGCCTGGGTCCTCTACAGAAACACCAAGAGGTTGAGACTGTTGGTACCACTCCCGGTGCCAACATGACTATAGCTGTCCTCCTGGAGGGCCACCAGGGTGGGGTTCAGGCCCTGATCCTGAACAAGGTAATGTGAGAACAGCCTGCTGCCTTTGTATGAACCTGAAACAAAGGTACTGGGCTAGGTGTGGGAACAGCAGCCTGCCTGAATGCCACTGGATATTTGAGGTAAGTCAGTGGAGAAGTCCAGTGATGATTCTGAATCTTGTTAAAAAAAGAGACTTATTCCAACCTCCTCCATTGCCTTACCTTACCTGGACTGTGCTAAGCATGAAGCAGTGTTGACTCCCAACAGCAACTGCGGGATCTGATCTGGATTTTACAGTGTAACTGCACCTATGGTTTCCAAAAGTGGTTTACATGCATTTCCAATGAAAAGGGGGAGAAACACTGATGAGAATTTTCATGAAGAAAAGGTAACTACAACCTGTACCTAACCCCATTTGGATGTATCATTATCACTAATTTTAATTTCAAAATTCCAACAGGAAGGAACCATATTTCACTGCTCTTTTTAAGCCAGTTACCTAAATAGGTTCTTTTAATGGCAGTCCCACAAAATATGATAAAAATGTTCCACACACAGAACTAGATTTTGAATTTTTTTCAATTTGTATGGAAGTGTAATTCACCACAAGCATTCCTTTCTTGACCAAAAAGTTATTTATCCACAGCACACACAAAAATTTATGTTCCTGTAGGGCAAACAAATGTGGTATCATCTCATTTAATTTCATCCTACAATTGTCTAATTTGAATTCATAACTGTCTTTCCCCATTCATTTTCCCTCTCTCCCCAATCTGCTATACTATATGCGTTATTCACTACTGGATATACTGGCCTTTGTATACCTGCTGACCCCAAATTTCAATGAGGTATCAATGGAAGATTCCCAGTATTCCTCATTTTTTTCATTTTACACAGCGGACATTAGTTTTAATCCTACAGCTGGCATGTTAATGCATTAAAACCCTTATAAACAGTGTATATTTTTGTATATTTATATTATAAAATATATATTTGCATATATTAAAATGTGTATATATAAAAATATGTATTTGTATATTTTGTATTATAATTTTGAATTATTATTACATTGTTATTAAGTCATAGGAGCTGGGACAAACCAACTTTGTAAATACAGCTACATGGACAACATCCAATTGGTGAAGTGGCAAGAATCTTTTGTGGAAGTCAGTTATAGTTCCTTAGCGGGCAATACTTTTTTCTAGCTAAAACACACCAGACGACAAAAGATTATGGTGAGCAGGGTAGGAAAAGAACTTGAAAGTGAACAGAAGGTCTTTCTGTTTTACACTCACGAGTCAACAATGGAACAGAAATCTTACAGCATCAATACGCATTTGTTTTGGTAACTCCGGCTAACTTCGGTAGCGTCAGTGCTTATAAACCTTGGTAAGAACGTAAGCAGCCACCAGGTGCCAGAGAGAAACACTGTCTGCAGTTTTTCCAAAATGAGGTCATAGGAACAGCTCATCACTTCCAAACAACTACTTCAACACCTAGATAGAGGGTGCTGATGCTGGCCTGGAAGGACACACACTTGGGAAAAGCCTTACCCACCTGTATTTCTGAGTACCTAAAGAACAGAGACAATTTGTCTACTTAACAGCAGTTACAAGGTGTTATTTATTCAGGTTTAGAAACACAGAAATGGAAACTACTGCTATAACTGTTAAATTACGACAATTACCACAATGATCTTCTTCTTCTACTGACTCAGTTTATTAAAGCTGCCAGAAAAGATTGCCTAACCCTAACCACTGTGTTAGGAGTTAAGAAGTGGCTCAAACTTCAGGTATTTGCAGTTGCAGAATGGGTTGCACGACTTCAATATCATAGTGAGTGAAAGGGAGTAAGGGGAGAATGGATCCTCTGGATTTTAAATACTTTCTAGTTTTCTTACCTGCAGTTTCATTTGAATAACATTAAATCGGAAAACAATTAAATTATCAGTATTTTCAAAATAATTTATCTGAGGCCTACACAGGGCAGAAATAAAGTACCAGGTATTTACATGACACAAAAAATGGCTTAGAATCTTATCACAGTTGCTCACAAAGTGATGCTCCCAGAAAGCATGAATATTATCTTTCAGCACTGCAGCAACATTTTAACGTACAGTAAGAACTTCCACGCAAGTTTTGCACTTCAACAGGTTTTAGTCAGAAGTTTTCCTGAAAAACAACCCTTCCAGGAGAAGGCAAGGAGTGCTTTTTCTTTGTCTTTCCAAGTCCTTTCCAACACCTCTGTATAATCAAATCAAATTACAATGATCTGTTATGAGGGTAGTTTGCAGTATGTGGGTAAAACAAAGAAGAATGACATGTGAAAAGAAATAACAACATCTACTATGTCTGATGACATAAGTCTGTATTAATTTAAGTGAAACCACTCAAAGAAAACAGAAATCACACTTTGCAATGCTGAAGGTCAGAATACTTGGGCTGCCTAGAAACAGACAAAATGACCTTCCATGATCAAATTGCTTTGTATAAGATTTGTGATATTAAAACTGGTTCTGGACTGAAATTTAACATAGGCAATCTCAGGACACAGGAAACTTTTTACATTGTTTTCAAATTTCTAGTTGAGTAATGAAAGAAATATTAACATCTCCACCTACACTTCCCCACAAACTAAACTTTTTAATGACCAGATTCAGCTAGGAAAATATTCAACTTCTCATGGCATGCATTTGAGTGCTCTGTAGATTTCAAGATCATTTTTGTTTTCTGTGACTTGAAATTATGTTCACTAAAGGATTTTTCTGTAAAATCAAAAAATTCTGTATTTTTCATGCTCTACAAAACCAGCAAAATTTTAAAGTAAACATTTTTCCTTATGCAAAAGTAGATGCATATACACATCCATGCAGAAATATATATATATATATATGTATGTATATATATATCTATATATATATATCTCATCATCATGGCTAGGCTTTGCAAACAAAGATTTGGGAAGGGCTCTACCCACGTTTGTTGCAAATATATATATATATATATATGAAGATATATATATATATATATATATATATTCATATTGAACTTTCAGACCTGAAATTACTATTTGTCAGGTGGTATCAATGAGGAGGTTAGCATCCACAAACTAAAAATTCCACAAATTTATCATCCACAAACTAAAAACCAGTTTCATGTCAGGGAGTGCAGGAACCAAATGAAGGTCTATCTGCCGTACACCACTGATTTCCCAGCCTTAAGCTGTCCCCTGTCCTCTCTTATAACCGTAATGGCAAAACAGGTTGAGGCAGCACAAGAAATCAGATTAGGGAACTGATCTGAATTTAACAAACACATCTCAGACACAAAAATGAAGTTATGAACCTGGAGTACTACATTCATCTCTGGAGTTCTCAGCACAGGAAAGACATGGACCTGTTGGAGCAGGTCCAGAGGAGGGCCACAAAAATGACCAGGGGGCTGGAGCACCTCGCATATGAAGACAGTCTAAGAGAGTTGGGGTTGTTCAGTCTGGAAAAGAGAAGGCCCTGGGAAGACCTTATCGTGGCTTTTCAATACTTAAACGGGGCTTACAAGAAAGATGAGGACAAACTTTTTAATAGATCTTGTTGTGATAGGACAAGGGGTAATGGTTTTAAATTAAAAGAGGGTAGATTCATACCAAATGTAGGGAAAAAACTTTTTTTTACAATGAGGGTGGTGAAACACTGTAACAAGTTGCCCATACAGGTGGTAAATGCCCTATCTCTGGAAACATTCAAGGTCAGATTGCACAGGGTCCTGAGACACCTTATCTGGTTGAATATGTCCCTTCCCATGGCAGGGGCCTTGGACTAGATGGCCTTTAAAGGTCCCTTCGACCCAAACTATTCTGTGATTCTATGATTCTATTTTTCTTTTGCATCACTTTGCTGACTTGGCATCACAAACAGCTGTTCCAGCTCACCTGAATGGGCACCCTGGCATGTTGTGGTGACAAGACAGCTCACTGGGGTGAAGAGATTTGGGGAGATGGATGTGTAGTCAGATTAATTTCAAGCCACTTCAGAGAGAAAGAGAATAATTTAGCAGAGACTTCCCCAATGAAAGATCACAGCTTTGGTTGCACCCATGATGAAGCATAAAAACAAACGGGCTTTCTACCACCAGCTGTAGGTCCATCACTACCTTCCTGCCTCAAGTAGTTTTCCTTTGGCTTGATTTTGATGGAAATATTGGTCTGAATCCCACCAACTTGTAAGAATAACATTTGTGAAAATAATTTTTATGCAAAGTATTTACATAAATGATAGTGTATATAACATTAGAAACAATATCACATTTTAATTTTATAACTGCAGCAGAGACAAGCCAATTAAAAAACATAAGCTACCTAAAAGGAACAGCAGAAAACCTTCAAAATCACTGAAAGCCAGTCTAATGGAAAACACATTTAAAACCTCACAAAAAGTTTACTCTTTTGCATATTTTAAATTCCATTTAGTCTTTTCAGTTTGCCAATGTGCATTTACAGCTATACACTACAAAAAACACACAAACACATAACCTAATTTGCCCAGCAGAATCAGTTCACTAACACTGAATATTTAAAACAGTCTTCAAAAGTGAAGGTCAGGCTTTCAAACTCAAATTTCAATGTGTGTCCAACTACCAGCCACTATACTTCTGACACACGTCTTCTCATGTATCTTCTGTGTAGTTTACTGAATTTATTTAACTTACCTAAAGCTTCAAATATGGATGCTATTTAATGGTCTGCTATACCAGCTTTCTATTTTATTTATAAATGTTATTTAAAAAATTGTTTAAAAATCCTTTAGTGACATCTGCAACTGTCAAAATATACTAGCATGAACAACTATTATGCTCAAATTAATTTATTCACTTTAGCATTTCCTTTTCTCAGACTGAGGCAGATCTGGTGAATGAGACTGTTGCAAACACTGTTTCCTTCAGTTTATCACTTTGTACTTGCAAGAATCTCAGACAGTTAACTTCTTTTTTCATAATGAGCAAAATACTACCTATTTAAGGATGCAGTGACAAAATCAGCAAATTTTTCTTGCTGATTTAAAGGGGGGAAAAAAAAAAGAAAAGAAATCATGTGTGCTGTTTTTAAAGAACTAAATGGATATAAATTGTCAGACTCTGGGTCATCTCTAAGCACAGGCCAGAGCATTGGCACGAATGACCGTGTTGTGAAGCCTACAAGTTTTATTTGGTTTTTAGTTCACATTCCTGTAGAGTGAGACATTCTTAATTTGGGAGAGTTACGGGTAAACATTTATGGGAAAAAATTATTAAATATTTCCTTTTACAAATGTATCAGGCAAAATAAAAACAAAATCAACTCCTGCACAGGATGCTAGCGGTGGTCTTTAACTATCAAAAATTCAGCAGGGCAAATGAGGTATCTATGCTTCTTTCTGACAGGCACTCGAGAATTTTATTATGGAGAGACTTACCTTCCCTCCACCATTCACAAACTCATAGTATGTTTATTTTCAGAGAGTGACAGTATTATCATATGTGAATATGCACACGAAATAGCCCTGTCCATCATATGGAGATAATAGTGATTATGTACACTTGCACCTAGACTTAGCATTACAAAGGAAGTGAAAATACTTACAAGATACTTATTACACCACCTGATGTAATACATAACTACTGGTAACTTCCCAAACCTCTCACTGAACTCCAGTAGCCTTTGAGAGCTGTTTGTTGTGATTCAGTTTATGAGACAATGTTTTAAATGTTCTTACTCCAAAGAACTCTTGGAAAGATGAAGCCCATCTGAATATTTTCTGTCTAAATATGAAACATGTTCTGCTTGCAGAAGATTTCAGAATTTAAAACAAATACGAAACACAGTTTATTCACCCTGATGAAAGAAGTCATCCTGCAGATGGATCTGAAGCTTGAGTGGACACTATGCACAATTTCTCTGGGCTTTAACCCTCAGCACTACAACTCATTTGTCTAAGTGAAGTTTGAGAAATCTACAGGAACACCTAAGAATGTGTATCATATCAGCCTTGATCAGTGTGTACAGAGAACAGAACCTTACTCTAACTCTACAAGCAGGAACATGTTGGCTTGACTGTATGTGGATCAGGGATATCAAAGCTCTCTTCCTCCTCTGACCAAGTAAGATACAAAGTTTCTCTTAAGAAAATTCAAAGGCATGCACACACCTCTGCTGCCCTTTAAACCTTATGCGATTTTTAACTATTGAAAATACAGAAGACTGTTGTCTCCTCTTCCTTGTATCTACAAAATTATGCATGACAAATGGCTCCTGAGCTAAGACAGACTGAATGCCATGTCCTGCTTTCCTGGGCATGCAGATGGATTGCATTATCACTAAACTATGGTTTTCACAGTATTATTCCAGGGTTAAATATGCACCATTTATACTGTAGGGTAAGACCCCCATGAAACAGATCTATTCTATACAGGCAGTTAACTCAGGCGTAGTTCCTGAATGTAGGTCATATGGGTACAACAGAGAGTAGGTCGCTTTCCCCAGCATCAAATAATTTCCAAAGCTGATCTTCTCTGGTTCCTTAGAAAGGGTGGTTCCTCTCCTGATTCCTCACTACTTGTCAAGACTGAAGTCTAAAGAGTTTGCAATAAATGGGCAAATCTCTGACAGCAACCTGGTAGCTCCTTCCAGTCAGCCTGCAAAGATGAGGTGGCTTTTCAAAATTTCATCATAATTGTGGTAAGGCCAGGGTTTTATTAATACTTCCAATATTTGATGTAATTTCATATAAACTCCCCCATTTAGCTCAAAAATACTCTGGAGCACCATCAGTACAGCAAAACCTAGGGAGCATGTTTTCCTGAAATGTTCCTGAAATATTAGCTGGTATTATTAGTTATGGGACTTCAAATAGTAATCATATTTATTAAAAAACATGTCATGCAAACATCCAGAAGATGTCCCTTTGTGGTACCACCATAATGGAGTCATACCAGAAAAGGAAAACCCAGTAACACCAAAGCAAATTTTGCTTCTCAGATGTCCAATGGAACAATATGCCAAAGATTTAACTTTCCAAAGGAAAAGACAACAAATACATGGCAGAATTAGTTTCACAGCACCGTGTGTCACCACAGCTATGCAAAAAGATGTCATACATCTTGGCCTTTGAGGAGAGCACAAAATAATGGAAAAACAGGATTGACAGGAGTCAATCTTGGGTACCAAGCTACACTAAATGACTGATCCTTCTCAAAAAGCCTCAAGTATCATACTTATTTGACTGTTCACTAGTTTACTGGATGGTTGTTTCTCAGGGAGACTGGGAGTATTTATTAGCTGGTATTACTAGTTATAGGACTTCAACCAGTAATCATTTTTGTTAAAAAAAAAATTGGTATAGTAAGTGCGAATTCTTACTGTTTAGGGATAAAATGCTGCATTCCCCTTCAGTTTATTGAAGATTTCATGACTAAATTAACTGTTGCCTAATATAGTCAAAAGAAGTATTTTTTTAAAAATTAAAAGCTTATTTGTACCTGGCTTACTATATTTCTCTAGGAAACAATGAAAGGGTAAAATGCCCTAACAAAACAGCAAGATATTATGTATGACATGGTAAAAGAGATAATCCTACCTGACTGCCACACCTTTTAAAATTATGTATAAGGAGTCTTTTGTTCCCTGGTTTTTGGAATGTCAAGCAACTCATAAATGATAATCTGGACCTACATAAATGTATACTAGTTAAAAATTCCATATTTATTTAAAGTATTAAATGAATCATGACTTCAAGTATTCAAATAGCAACATCTTTCCTCAGTTTCTTACCTAACTCCTCTTTTTAAAAAGCCAACGTAAGAGTCTATCAACAAAGTCACGGCAGATTTTTCTCAATCTGTTTAAAACATTTACCAGACAGTTTTAAATACCATCAGAAATGCTTAATATTGCTATACTATGCTAGTTTAAAGCAAGAAAGTAGCTATAAGTCTTTATAGCAGGAAAAACTGGAATATGAGGCATTTTTTTCAGTATTCCCTTAATGCAATTACCTCAGTTCTTTTGTCACTCCATCAATAACATCAAGATTTTTTAGCAGAATTGCAAGAAGTGGAAAGATGAAGAAAGTAAAAAGACCTTGATAATGCAATCAAGACTTAAAACCCCTTACATGATTAAGGGTTTGTTTCTTGGCTTTTTTTAATAAGAGAAAAGTAACTTCACATAGGGGTCACTTCATCTTTTCTTGCCCTTCACTCATAACATACCTATATAAGCTTAAAAATGTTCTTTTATTCAAGACAGTGTTCAGTTACTCATAAAGAATTACTTACTCTTTGCCAGTTGTTTGTATCAAATTAAGAAAGTAACATGGAGGGATGTGTTTTTCAAGTGGGAAAATCCCAGCAACCCACAGACATGAGCAATGAAGGTGCACACAACCTCTAGGAGAACAGATGATGGGACAAAAAGGAAGTAGGGTCAAATCTTGGGTCAACCCACCATGAAAAATGGCTCAATCGGAGTTTGAAGGATTCCTTGACAAAGGAAAATGGCAATGTCTAGTAGAGCCCTCCCTCCAGTCCCTTTGAGTAACAGATAGTTGCTCTCAACTAAAACCACGTTTGTTTAAAGACAGTTTCTCCTACCCTCCCTCATTATCTGGTTAGAATTAATGATTATCTGATTAATAAATTGTTACTCAATTACCACTTAACCCAATCCCCAACAACCAGTCCCAGGCACACCTTTCAAACCACAATAAATAGGACAAATGTTCATCTCCTCCTCTTCTTTTCCCACATCTCCTTCCTCTCCTCCCTTTCCCACTCCCCCCAGATTAACACATTCTGGGATTTATTTTCCTGTATCAGATCCAAGAACTAGAGTGTTCTCTCCACTTTTTCCACACAGGGAGAATAGGAAAGCTGGTCCCAAGCCTACCCTCCATTCTCACTTTTGGAAGAGTGTCAGTGACTCCTGCAGTGTTGCAGTTCTAACAGAACTTCTTAAAAAACCATCTCTTGACTCTGTTTCCTCCTCCAATGCAACTTTTTGGGGTTTGTTTTAATTTCTCAGCTCCTTTCAGAGAAACAACTCCTTAGCCCTGCTCACTTCAATTGTTCAGAGAAAACTTTTATTCACTCTGAATGAACAAACTTCTTTAAACACAAAACAATCAAAATACAAATTCCTGAATAAAATACTAATCACTGTACTACCCTATTCCACATGCTCTCTAAGTAGTCTATATTGTATCCCGTATACCAAAATGATTTGTATACTATTGACATTTTTCATGTTCCCTGCAATGTTTGGAATACGACATGATACAGGGTACAAGAAGATAAGATCATTTATGTAAGCAAAATATGACCTTACAAGTGTGTAAATCCCTTATGTGCGTATGCAAGAGAAATAGCTGTGACTACCAGTACTATTTGTATGTGTAATTATTTGCTTTACATGGCACATCAATTCTGCAAACAAATAGTAACTATTTAGCAATATTCATCTCTTTCTATTGTATAACACTGAACTGGGGAGAGAGAGAGAAAGGTAAGACTTTAAAGTCCATTGATAAATGGTATACTGACTGCAAAGTATATTTTGTATAGAGATCTCAAGTTTGTGCTGTGGAAACAGAAATTCATGGCTGATAAAACAGCAGAAAATGGAAAGAACAGCCTGATCCAAAAACTGCAATAGGCTGTACTGCTCTGGGAGAAAACATAGGTCTAGACAGAGTAAACACAAAGTTTATAAGTAACATTCATTCATATAAATATATATATATATAACCCCCCCATATTCTAAGTTGTGTTTTTGTGGTGTTGCGTTTTTTTAACTTACAAGGCAAATACAGATAAAACTTACTAAATCTTACTGTTTAGAGTCTGAAGGTGGTAAGGTTAAATAGTCTGAAATCAACAGATGACACATTCAGTTTTTAGTATATATATATATATTACGCAGAAATCTGGTATTACAACTCTTTGTAGTATTTGCACGTATGCTTTTCAACATATGGTTAAACAATGTCTATTTGTATTAGCAGGTCCAAAGCTCAAGCAGACTGTTTGAATCAGGGGACATTTGAGTCCTGCTGCCTAAAAAAGAGGAAAGATGTCAGCCTTGGGTAAGATTACAGGTAAGTGCCACCTAAGCTGCTGCTTCACGCGTATGGAAAGTATCTTGTGATGTCCTTACAAAGGTAGCTGGAACAGTGTGGTCTATGCCCTAGCTGGGAGAATGGTTTGGAAACAGCCTTACTTCAGCTCTCTGTCTCTCATCTTGAAATATTTCCTGCCTGGGGTGGCATAAACCTCTCAGACTGGAAGAGGAAAGTCTACCTCTTATGTCCCTCCCCTTCTCTCTTACCAACCCCAACTGTTTCCATGGTAGAGCCAGCTGTACCTGCTGCCAAAGAAAACAAGGCATTTTCCCACCTTGAGGGCATTCCCCTCTGAACATCAAACGTCTACAGCAAACAATGGAGTTGAAACAGCTTTGCAAACAAAAGGTCACAAGAATTTTTCATAGTGGAAAATATCAGGCTACCCACAGGCAGGGGTTGCTTCCAGCTCACAAACACTACACATGCTTTCAAACACACTTCACTATGAGCTGAATTAGTCTTTGCTGAGACACGGCATGGTCCCAGTGATGTAACTCAAATTCATTCTCCCTCTAGCTATTTCGTAATCACCTTAATTGTCAGGTCTTAAAAAGAATAGATTTTTAGTTCTTTGGGAAGAGAATGCATTTACATACTGCAAGAAGCCATGCAAACTGTAGGGTGTTCTGAAATAGCAGGTCACATACTAAGTAGTGCACAAAGTAGGGGAAAGGAGAAAGGGCATGTGCTACTGGAGAGCTTCAGGCAGAAGAGCAGAGCATGTGATAAGTTGTTGATGGAGCTGTGCTTTGCAAGCTCTAGCCAAAGGACAAATGAGCAATGCAGAGAGCCCGTGGCTGCCAGAAGCTACTGAAGCTGTACTATAGGCCTCCATGGAGACTTGGCAGGATGGGGTTCAGCAACAGCAGGAGCCACATGTTTTCTGGGCTTCTGCTCTCTGCCTGTGCATGTGCTCAGGCTTGCCAGTGCAGCAGTCTCCCATGGGGTCACGTTTCCCCATGGCCATAGTCACCCTGGCCTCTGGTGCCCAAAAAGCCCCCCTCCATTCCACTCTCCTTCAGCACTGGCATTCCTGCCTTCTCCATAAGCACACTATGGTGGTCTTCCCTCTCTCCTGCCTCTCAGAATTGGAGGGGTTGTCGAGAACTGCGTGATATCTAGTTTGAGTGCTGCTGCTATGAAGATGAGTAGAGAATTCTTAGTCCCTAGACCAAGGGTAGAAGATGGAAGGTGACTCAAGAAGCATTTAGGGGGAAAAACACTGGACAAGCTATCACTGAACAACTTTCTGGCACTAATCTCTAGCTAGACTAAAATTCCTTCAGATGGGCATAACAATACAATTTTACTATGGGAAATTAACAGTTTAAATGTGAACCCAGATACTAGGCATTCATATCCCTATGAATTCTCTGTACAGGTAAGCTTCAGCAAAGAGGGAAACTGTGATTATCAGCATTTTCCTGCATTGGTGGGGCAGTGGAAGAAGGGAGTGGGGGGCATGGGTTGAAGGTTCTGAATTTTCAGGGCCACTCATTATGTTGAAAATTAAAACAGTCATAATTCCATAGTAAAAAGAGCTTGCTTTGGATTTCTTTTTTATTTTCCCACTTTCCTACTGGATAGTTTAGCAGACACAAGCCAGAAGGGATGGTGACTGTAAGCATAGTTGAGCATTTGCTCAATAAAGAATTAACCCTACACATCTTTCACATATCACAATCCTGCCAACTCCCATGGGAAGCTGCCCAACAAGATCATCACTTTCACTTATTGCCTACAGCTTCTCCAAAGATTTCAACACCTTTCTGTGCATTCATCCTTGACCTAAGGTGCCCAGTATGGGAACACTCCTCCAATCTTACCTTCTCTTCTCCTTCCCCATTTGGAAAAGCCTGGTCAGTCAACATTTTCTTCACAACAGGATGAACTGAGTTTGACTAATTGCAAGAACACACTCACATACACCGGAAGTACTGCTGAGAACAAAACATCTGAGCTTTTAAATGTGGGTGATTGAGAAAATGGGACTTGACTGGTGGAGGAAACTGGTAGTTAAAGGTCACTGATAACTGGGGGGAAAAAAAAGGGCATAATTCAGATATTGTCAGTCACTGGTATATAGACACAGTTTCCACTTGACAGTTTTCAACACTCAACATGAAGTGACAATTGATTTATAGACACTGTAACTTTAATTTTAGCAGAGACCACAAATTCAGATTAATCTGGAATATTAACTCAGCATTTCCAAATAAAAACAGAAATGAAAATCTGTTAAATGGCACTATATGAACAATAATTTTTTCTGCTGTCTTTTATCTTTATTGTAGTGAGTTGTACTGAGTAGGAATGAATTTCCTAAATATACCAACAAGGTCTCCAATTCCAGTATCTCCTTAAAGCTCCCTCTTCTTCAGCATCCATTCCATTTGTACATCTGAACCTCAAGACAATGGTTTCTTTTCTTCAAGTTGGCAAAACAATTATTTCTCAAATCTGAAATATACTAACATAATACAGATACATACAGAGAGAGAAAAGATGCATTAAGCTATTTTGCAAAGGGGCCAAGAGAAGGGAGTTTTCTGGCAATTACTCAGCATATGGAGTGAGGTATATAGTGAACAGATTAGATAAAATTAGTGGTTGTCAACCCAGTACTGCCTGATGACAGAAATTACAGCTTTATCTTTCTCTTATCCCTGCCTCCCACATATCATGTGCCTCATTAGAATCCTATGGACAGAACACACAAGAAAAAGACCATTCTCAAGCAACTAGAAAAAAAATCCAAAAATAACTATAAAATCTCCTGCCAGATTTAGTAAAAAATATTTCACTTGGCTGCAGGATATAATTATGTACTATCCTGGACTATCACAGCATTTGAGGAATGGCAAAATCCAAGGTGTAACCAGGTGCCCCGCTAGGGTTAAAAATGTCTCTTTGCCTTCAAACACATGTTCTTTGAATGTTGGGAAAGCTAGCCATAAATTAAAATGAAAAATGAAAGACAATCGGCAACTGACTCAGGGAAAGGACTGGGCAGTCAAGACGTGGCTATGTTAAATTTGGCTGTGTTAAGTTAGATGACACAGAAATATCAACTTTGAGAAAACAGTAAAACACCTTTGCCAAATGTTTGGAGGAGAAACACGTTGCTTTTTAGGCTACAGGGTCCTGTAATACAGTATCTGATGCACTGATCTATGACCACAGTATCCAAAGCCAGCAGCACGATGCTGATGGTCCCAGACATCTTTATGGGAAAACTTGGTTGGGCAAAACTGCTTTTCCCAATTATCCACATTCCTCCAGCGAAGTTCTTGCACAGAGGTTTTTGTTTCAGTCACAAGGGCATGAGGAACAAATGAGCAAGGACCCTAAATGGCAGAACAGTCAGTTCAAAACAAGCCCAAGGGCCGGCAAGTGATGACACCGAATAGGTCATTTCCTTGTACATAAGAAAAAAACCTGCTTATGAAGTATTTAGTAGAATAGTAAATATGAGCAAAAATGTTTTCCCTCAGATCACAATGAACAAGTTTCCAGCACATTTACCAAATGGTGCAAAAACATTCCAGCACAATTTTGCTGGTTTGCATTAAAAGGAAGAATGCAAGCACATCAAAGCTTGACTTTGCCCCTAAGAAATTATTCTTCTGGTCCTCAAAAGAGCAGCTGACTTTGAAATTGGAGTGAACTGAGCCTTGACCACATTTGTAAAGGTAATACAGAACCAAATCACAGAACAGGATCTGTAGGGAAGTCTAGATACTGCAGATGTAAGTTTTCCCACCTGTATTTGGAGGTTAGGGCTGTAGGCACTGAACACACATAATTCATGAGCTTCCACAGTCTCACAGAGCTTTTAAGAGCTTGTCACATTCTTTTCAAGTGGATCATTAAGGGTGGTGTACCTAAATGGATGGGTGGAGGAAATTTATCTGAACAGAAGATTAGAAGTGATTCAATTTTGGGAGATAACCCGACTTTTTGTCTTGGTAAGACTATAGTTCAGCCATGTGAGTTGACATTGGCATCTGGGGCTACTCAGCAGTTTCACACACAGATACTGTTGTGCAGATGAAAAAGAATAGCATTATAAAGCTTCTTTTTGTAAACCATAAAGGTAAAATTTTGACATGATGATGGCTGATGTAATCAACACTTTCATGAGGAGGTTAGGCTTAAAGAGGCAAACTTAAGCTTTTTACAATGAACTTTTTGAATTCCTCTTGACTTCAATAGTTTATCACTGACAATTGGTGGGACTGTGACAAAGACATTAGAATGGAAATTCAAGCTGAGACCATTTTACAAAGGCTCAGGAATCTTCTCTAGTCTGTAGAACACCCTGCAAGTGCAAAAGAGCTGGGAAGAAGAGGAATAGAGATAATGGTCTTCAGTTCAATCTACCTTCCTCAGGAGAAGACAACTTGAGAGAAACCAGTGCTGAAACTTTCCATTTCAAAGCTTTAACTATTAAAATGAGTAAATTAGCTGTGAGAAAGCACTAAATTCATTCCACACCTTCTATGGAAATCCTGCAAAGCAGGGTATAGACAAAATTTCCTACTTTTTCTTTAGGCACCTCTGTGGTTGCCTGGATGAATAGAGCTGTCAGAATTGTTTGGGGAATGCTGACTGACCAGGAAAGGAAATTGTCATATTGACGCAAATACCAGAGACCATAGTGCTTGTCACACTGGAGCTCTAAAAACAACACTTCTTGTGCCTTCCTCATTCTCTGTTTTGCAGTCTCTTTTGTTATTTATTTTTAAATACCCTTCTGACTAACTAGCTTCCAGAAGGAGAGGTGAAAAAAAAACAAAAAAGCAAGAACTGGGAGAAACCAGAGAAGGACAGCTGAACCATCAATTCCTCTAGGCCAAACCCTTAGGTCCAATTCACCCTGTGGTACTGCCAGCTGCTTACATCATTCACAGCAAAAAATTTAACAGTCCAAATTAGTGTGTTTGAGACTTGCAGGGATACTGCTTATTCCC